TAATCATTTATTTACAGGACTACATTCGTTGAGAGCTATGCTACACGATGTATTATTATGTCCTTTATTCGAACACTGTATTTACACTGTCTCTTATACACATCTAGATGTGTATAAGAGACAGGAATTAAGTGATGATCTTTTTAGAGTTCTTAGACTTAGTACATTAACTTGTTTTTACAGTGCACTTAATGATTACATTATGGCCTAATGTTTATCAGTGATCCGACCGTATAGAGTATGAAAATAGCCATATAATATATTGTGTCACACAACACAACGTTGATCATTATTTTATTAATTGCAGCATTATTGTACCAGTTTTATATTATCTAACATTGACCTAATTGTAAAATTTATTGTCATGTTGTTTTATGGTTTTGTTTCAGTTCACCGCATGAATAAAATAGTTTTGGAAACCATAATTGTGGCCATTAGTATTTATTATTGTGGTTGACGCTAACTGGCGGAATTAAGCTACACACCAAGTTACGCTTTACTGAAACCAGTACACTAATAGATGTATCTGATCACATACTTAATCATTTTAATGATGGTAAAGCAACAGCTGCCATATATTATTTATCTTAAAAAAGCATTTGATACAGTTGATCATGAACTACTCATTACCAAACTTAAATCATATGGTGTTAACAATGATGAATTGCACTGGTTTATTTCTTATTTAAAGCCTCATTCCCGGTAAAATTTTTTTGGTAAGAAAAATCTAATTTTTGTATAAATGTTATAAAAAATTTATAAATATAATACGGAATTTCTAGTTTAACTGAATTTAGACATTCCTAAGCATGAAAAAAATGTAAAAGAAGACTGAAATTTGATTTTTTTTTTGTGTTCTACACAAAAAATAAATACGGACGAATTTTTCATGTTTGATTTTGCAACAGGTCTGCGAAGAAATATAGTAGGCACTGAAAACATTAGCCTATCCAACACTGCTAGGCTAGGTCTAGTCTTACCTCGATTTAGATTTTCTTATCACACATAAAAATGGCTGACATGATATTTTCCGTTGCTAGTATTTACACTTGTGAAATATAATATTTCATAGGGATATTTTAAATTTGTTAAAAAACTGATTCTGACCGAGATTTTGACACTTGAACAAACATATCTTAGGCCTACTCGAATGACCGCATTGTGCGAGATGCGAAGTACAAACAATAATCCACTAGAGAGGGCACACTTTATTGACTGTGTAAAGCTAGAGCATCCCAGCGGACGCAATCTACAACCTTTGAATTAGCCTAGTAATGAAGAATTCATCGAAAAATTGTAATATTCTATGAGAAATAGTCTGTATTTCCCTTTTTTTTTTATCCTTTTGCATAAAACTAAAATTTATACCAATATTTTTCCTTGATTTATAGTAATTAGAATAATGCATATGCATCTTTTCTAAAAAAAAGTCTGTTTTTAGTGAAATTTTACCGGGAATGGGGCTTTAAGTAGCAGGTCCAGTGGCGTAAAAGGTTTGCCCCATTCCCTGAATGTTTTTACTGGGCTGACCAAGCTGTCGTACGGGGCTGAGTAATAAGAAAAAAGAAAGAAGGGAGAGGGAAGGAAAAAGAAAAAGAAAGGAAAAAGAAAAAAAAAAGAGAAGAGAAAAATAAAGACAAGAATAAAAAGGAAGATATCATAATGACCAGACTCACAACACCCTGCAACCTCTTCTCCACTTCAAAAAGTGTCCATAGCTCCTTTGATCTAAGCCGCCAGATATTCTCCGCAGTGGCGTAACCACCGGGGGACAATGGGAAATATCCATCTGTGGAAAATCTTTCCTCACCACTTAAAGATGCCCTTTTCACCCCCTGAAAGTGCCTAAAAATCTCAAAGTGCTTGTCCTTCTTGGCCTTCTAAATTAATTGAAAAATTGATAATCACATTAATCTCTGCATTATTTTTGTTTCTAAATGTAGGTATAACATATTTTATGTTAATGCTTTTAAATATATATCTGTTAATAGTAGGCACTTGGATCATCTTAAGTTACACAACAATTTTACTGCACGAACTGACTCTTTTCATAATTCTGTCTTTAATATTTTTGTCAGACTTTTCGGGAACCTGCCAGTGGATCTTGGTGACCAATTACTTACGGTACCAATTTTACTCTTTTTAAAAACGGAATCAAGAAACATTTTATTGATCAATCTTGAAGTTTATTTATTTGTTGTTTTTATCTTTTAATATCCTCAATTCTATATAAAAAAACAATTTTAATTATTTAAAATCACTTATTAAAAAACGGCAATAAGAATCTTGAAATCAATTTTAAATATTTCAAAACAATTTTTATATATTTTAAATTGCTTTTAAATCTACTTTTTCTATGTGATTTCTAACTGTAAATGTTAATTGAATTTTATATATTTGAATATGCTATCTTTTTTGTTGTAGTTTTTCATTGTGGAGAGCCACTTTGACTGTTATTTTATGACAATTTGGCAATCCTGCCTTGCTGAATTACTACCTGTGTTTTTGTATTGTTTTTTATATGTTATAAAATACACATAATAGTCCCAACTCAAATAGAAAGAACATTTTAGATAGATCGTGGGTATGATAAATTACTAACCGGGAAAATTATTACCTTTGTCGCACCCCCCAACCCATGACCCCTTTTACGTGTCTGAACAGGTCTCAAGTTGTAAATATAAACTCAACACAATCTGATGTTATGAATATACATACTGTATTGGAAGTTCACAAGGCTCGATACTGGGTCCACTATTATTTATTATTCACATCAATTCGCTACCTGATATCATGCCTTGTAAATGTGTTATGTATGCAGATGACACTACTATTCTTTGCGATTCTTCTGACTCCTTTAATTGCTACAAGATGATCTTGATTCTAACCTATATAAAATTGCAATCTGGTTCACTGAAAATAAACTCACTTTAAATATTAAAAAGACAAAAGTAATGGTATTTGGAACTAGCCAGATTCTTTCTAAATTTAAAAACATTTCTATTTCCAATACAATTGAAAGAGTTAATACTTTTAAATACCTTGGCGTCATCTTGATCACCAGTTGGAACGACCATATAAACAATATTT